TCCGCTTCGTGGATGACATACTGAAGCGAAGCGATTGATTTGCAGTAAAAGTAACTTTAACAAAGTTGGGACACAATGTAGTAATTAAAAGTAGTATTTAATTGTTGATAATGTGACCATTCCTCAAGGACACCACTGATCTCTGATTTTATCGGCTTGCAAAGAATGGTCAAAATTGATAATCTAGATTTTCAGTTAAAAAGTCCAAAAAATCCATCGTTTAATAGCGTAGCTTCGCTCCAACAAGCTGTTTCATGATTAATGATTGTAAATAGATTTTTCTATTGTAAAATTAAAATTCTGATCCATGCAATGTTCTTTTCCAGATATCGAACGCAGCCCAAGATGCTAGGGCTGCTGTTACTAGTGGCACTTGGGGCATCGACGCTCGCTTATAACGGCGAACTGGTGGAGCAGGAGTGCCCCGTGGACTGCCATTGCCATTATTTTCGCGTCAACTGGGTGACCGACTGTTCCGAAAGCAATTTGACCAGCATCCCTTACGAGGAGCTTAGCCCTAATGTCTACATTCTCGATATGAATGGTAACAACATCGTGCAGGTCGGTCCGTTTCCCCATGCGATCAAGCTGAGACGTCTCCAGGTGGCGCATAACAGATTGACCGAACTGAAATACGAATCTTTCGCCGGATTAACTTATCTATTGGAAGCGGATTTCTCGTACAACGCGATCACTCATGTCGATCCGGAGGCATTCAGGTGAGGAAGCTCTCGGATATAACTCTGATTGCACTATGATAAATACTGATAAGCAGACTGATAACGTGAAAGGTAGAAAAGAATGGTGGACAAAAAAACTTTAGGAACATATTCTTAATGCTTAGAGAAGAAAAATAAGTTATATTAATATAGGTTTCTGAGTTATTCAAGCTTTTATGCCACATCAAGCATCTCGATGGAATGTTTCTTGATAAATGGATAGGTAGAAGTGGACCAATTGCTTGGCCTCCACTCTCGCCAGATTTAAACCCATTGGACTTCATTCTGTGGGGTTATGTAAAGTCTTTAGTGTATTCGTCTGCGATAAATTATGTAGAAACTCTCCGCGACTGAATTGTGGCAGCTTTTCAGATACGCGCCACGCCAGGAATTTGGGAGCGTGTTCGAAGCTGAATGAAACGACGAGCTGAGGCTTGCATTGGGACAGTTGGTGGACACAAGAATTGTGGCACAAAAACTTGAATAACTAATTATCTTCTCTATGCATTAGAAACCTATTCCTAGAATTTTGCCCTCCATTTACGAAACACCCTGTAGAATTTAAAGAATTTTGTACAATAATCACGTGCTTGATCCTTCAACAGAGATAATCCAGGTTTCATTACCCTGGAACTGCAGCACAACCCGTTGGAAGAGGTGAAGAGTTACTTTTTAAATTCTCGCACCCTGCTCTACCTTGATTTGAATTCCTGCGGTATCCACCAGCTGAATACGCAATTTTTCGACCACACGACGAACCTGAACAAGCTCGACCTGTCCCACAATCCGCTCGGTAGCATAGAACCGGGCCCGTTCGATCATCTCACCAATTTGGAGTACCTCAAGCTGAACGCGTGCAACCTGACCCACATATCCTCGGACGCGTTTGCTCATTTGGAAAATTTACGCGAGCTGGAGATGGCGGAGAACGATCTGCGTTCGTTGAGCTGGACGAACGTGTTGGCCCCGTTGGTCCGACTGGAATACCTGAACATCAGAAACACCGGTATCACAAATTTGCCAGGCGACGCCTTCGCTAAAAACCTGTATCTCCGACAGTTAGTATTGGCAGATAATGAATTATGGCATTTGGACGTGGGAAATACTTTGGGCCACAATCTGCACAGTCTTCAATCGTTGGATCTCTCGAATTGCAACCTGCAGGATCGTTTGTCAGAGGAAGCGTTCAGGAACTCGAGCAAATTGCGCGTGCTGAACCTGAGCGGTAACCCAATGTTCGCTGCTGACCTAACCGTCGTCCTACGCCACTTGCCGAAGCTTCACAAACTTTCATTAAGCAACTGCAGCCTACGACGTCTGCCGAACGCGTTCCACGTGTTCGAGCACCTGGAGGAACTCGATATATCTCACAATCCTCTGTCGGATGCTTTCGTCAGCCTCTTGAACCCGCTCGAGTCGTTGGAATACTTAGACATGTCCTACTGTGACCTGGGTTACGTTGGAAACATGACTTTCTCTCACATGACGTCTCTGAAGAAACTGATCCTCTCAGGAAACAAATTGCATACTCTCGAAGAGGGATTGTTCGCGAATCTGACGAGATTGGAGAGTCTAGAATTGAACAACTGCGATTTGAAGATTCCCGTCGATCCAAAGGTGTTCGGCGATCGTACGAGTACGGATATAATCGAGCTGAAGCTCAGTGGAAATCCATTGGAGGTACCAGAGGATGGCGCTCTCCTTCCCGAACAATTATCCAATCTAGAGATTCTCGATCTTAGCAATTGCAACCTGGTGCATCTGAACGAGAATCTGTTCGAGAGAACGAAGAACATCACCCAGTTGAACCTATCCGGTAACAACATATCCGGCGCTGAGAATCTGGCGTGCTTGAAGAAGCTGCGCGCTTTGGAGCATCTGCAACTCAGCAACAACAATCTCACCAGCGTCGCTCCGAAAGTGTTCAGATCGAATCCCCGTCTACTCAGCGTGAATCTCCTAGGGAATCCGTTCGTGTGTAACTGCACGATCGCCGACATGTGGAACTGGGCGGTACAGATCAAGAACGACCTCCACGTGTTGGTAGGCAGCCAACCGGCCAACTTCGAGACCGGTGCGGCGAAATTAAGGAAGAGCCTGACCTGCACTTACGACGAGGAAACCCATCGCAAGGTCTTGGAGAAAGCGCGCGAGAGCGGTGTTCAGCGTAGACTTAGAAAGGGTGACCTCATTCCCACTCGTACCTGGGCGAAATACGTTCGCGAGTCGAATTGCGGTCGTAGTTCATGATATAAGGTATACAGATTTCAACATCCGATACTGAACGTCTATAACGACAAGCCGCGTAGACTGAGAGCAGATCTTTAAACGTGTCTTGTCGATGACGAAGCGTACCACCCCGCATACAAAACACATACAGCACAGGTACACGCGACGCGCTCCGCGATATTGTCGGAGTGTAACTTCATTAAAATATCCCCGGCATTCAAAACATATGTGTATATCCTTCCTTCAATAGCTATACGATTTTATTTTTGTAGTAGAGATTACGATTTGGCGGTAGTACGCGCACGCTAAACATCGGGATGTTGAAATATTTTCTAACTTCGATTAACGGTACACACGTTAAGGACACGCGATCCATCGGGTTCTCTTTCTTTCTATTCTGAGCGAATCATTATCTTCGTAGAATCGATGGCGACGTCGCGCGTCCGTCTATCGTACGTGTTTCATTGTAATCAATCATTTTCATCCGCTTATGTTTATAAAACATTTGTATCATCGTGTAACGAAACGCTTAGATGCTCGAATGAAATTCGAGAATAGAATTTACAGTCTCTCGGATGGTTAACGCGTTGATTGTAACGGAAGGTGCTACGTTTTCAATGCTCGTCGGAACAATCAAAGATTAATGAATGTAAATCAACCTGATTCATACTCCGTCGACGTTTCTACGTTTGAGAATGTTAAAATGATGTTGGAAATGTTTTCGTTTTTTAAACGCAGATTCGATGCAGTCCAGGTTCAAGATTTTTCATTGTTCCGACGACGATAGCTTCGTATTTTCAATTAATCTCGTTAATTTACCTCGTCGACGAAATCAGTGCTATTCTCTTTCGCTCGGGAAAGCGCTCGTTCGTGCAAACATGCGGATACTAAAATTTAACGGAGTATGCAAACAGACGCGACGTTCTTGATTGTAATTGACGACGGTAGAACAAGGCTAGACGAGAGAGAAGAGACTGGGAAATTTACGTTAACGGTTGTCTTTAGATTCGCTGCTTCTCGCGTCCATGACGAAGTTATGAAGTTACCGAAAGTTGGACCTTCGTCGTACCTAACTGAATGTAGATTTAACGTTAAAACGAACACGGAGTCGCGTTAATTCTCAGAAGCGTGTGCTCGTGGTTAACAAAGAAACTTGCTCGCATGCTCGTGTATACATTGTACCCGTTATTTTTGTTATTACATATATACGAGCATGCGTTACATTAAGTTATGGACGTCGCCAGGTATATCCTTCTCTCTAAAAATTCATTAGTTCAAATTATTAATCTTTCACTGAGTAGAGATTAATCCTTCACTTTTTTATTTGTATTTCACAATTTTATTCATGTGATATACTTACATACTCTTTAAGGATCTAATTAATCTCACTCTATTACATTGTTACCAGTTAAGGATAGCTACTCTTATTATATTTACAAATTCTTCATCGTTTATTCGTTGTACTAGGTATATTTATTGGGTTCGAACGTTTATGTATATTTATTAAGTCTAAAGCATTTTTTGTTATTTCACTAATTAGCGATACGAGCCATAAAATTAGGTTTGCCTTTTATGCTCTTAAGAATGAGATTCTGTATCTCCCTCTTTAAACCAGAAAGTGTTCTCTGGCGGTGTTCATGTATAAATTAGGATACCCTTATGGTACTTTGATTTTCATTCTTGGACTATGCCGGGTTAGACAGTTTTTTATTTTTATGTTCGCAGTACATGTACGTTGTGTTTCTTGAAAGTACGGGTAGGTGAATCGGATTTTCAGTTTCGTTGTCACTGTTAGGGGAAACATGAATTAGATCAAGTGCCGATACGATTTCACTACATTCATGAAATGTATAAGACTGTATTTAATAAAGGAGTCATTTTTCTTGGTAAATTGAGCAAAGTGAATAATAAGCTCGATTGAAAAATCGGTTGTCAAAATAATTCATCGTGCCTAGTCGTATGACGTCGGTTTCGCGCCATTTTGATTCAAATAAAATGGAGTGAAACAAGGACAGACATTAAAATGCGAGAAAGAGGCTCTTATGCGGTTTTCCGGTCTGGTGTGGAGCAGTCGCTCTCTCTCGGTCTCTCGGTAGCCAATGCAGAGGGAGCCGCTTTCCATTCGCTTTCGACGTCGTTTCTATTATTATAAGATAACCAAATTGTAATGAAGTATTTAATATGGAAGTGTAAGTGCCTCTTTGTTTTTTTTTTATATTCATAACAATTTTATTAATTAGAAATTGATTATAAATAATTCAAAATTTTATTTCAGTCTTAAAGAATGTTCAGCATATTTAAGCAATTATGAAGTTTTGGATATTTTGCAAAATATAAAGGCAAATAAAAAACAAAAAATGAAACAAAACCAGCTAGCAACAATAACTTATCAAACTGTAAGATATTTAGAAGAGACTCCATGCAAGAATCAATCACCTGAGAAAATAAAAAATTTTCTGAAAGCAACTGAGCCTTTTAAGTTAACAAAGTGTGAAAAACTAACTCTTTTAAATTTATGTCCTAAAACACCACTGGAAATTCAATTGGTAATTTACTGATGATAAAAAAGTATAACATTACACGGTATAATTGAATGTATATTGTGCTTTTGTAGATTGTGGAGGACAGCGAAGATCGTTTGACAGAAGAAGAAGTAATGTCCCTGCTTCAGGTAGTGGCAACTTATTTAGGTGACGATCAGTTGGATGATAAAGATGGGTAACATGTTCTTGCACTGTAACTTTACACTTCTTAAAACAATTTATATGATATGTACATATTATATGTTATGTACATTTTATTTGTAATAAACGGAAATAGAAATAGTATAATATTAAATATAGCAGGTAAAATTGGCCCATTATCTTTTCTGATCTCCAAGATCATCTATAGAATCTTCGTCGATCTAAAAACATTAAATGGTGAAAATCATATGCTTTTTTATCCCCATTCAAAACAGCTATTACCCTTACCTGTGGCCACTTATCTGGAATCACTTCAAACAAGTCATCTTTTACATCTCCTTGTATAACTATCTCATCATCCCCTGTTACGCTTGAGCCACATGCAAAGTAATAACCAAAAAATTTGGCAGCTACTTTTAAATCTATATCTGAGAATTAAAAGCAAACTTTTGATTTAACAGCTGTGGGATTCTAGAAAAGGGTTTTAGAAAAATAAATTCTAGTAAATCAGTATTACCAAAAGTACTAAGACCAGTTACAACTGTGACCGATTTCTTTTTTCCTCTAGGTGCTCTAGATACAGTTACTAATTTTGGAACGTCTTCCTTTTTCTTTGTTTTGAGCATACCTTTACCACCACGTTTCTGTCGTTTCTTTTCATCTTCGCCTCCACCTGCCTCCGTGGTATTATCTTCCACTTCTCATTACATGAAATCATATAAAAAATGACAATATCTTGGCTTGTATAAAACTTCTATAAACGAATAATATAATTACCCAATTTAACTTTCTCAAATTCTGTTGGTAAATTTCTTTCTAGCCATTGCTTACATTTTTCATATTCTGGATAATATTCACAGTACTGTGACATAAATGGTGTTGATGATGTTCAAAGAATCCAAATACTTACACATTGTCGTACAACAGAAATTTGAAATATCGATTGTCTGATGTTGTCTTACCTCGATAGGAAGAGAACAATTTCCACAATATTGTACTTGAATCGGATAAGTGACATTAGGATCCGGTCCGAGACGCAAGTCTGGTTGTTCTTCTGCCGACATTCTTAGACGCTTAACCTTACTTTCTTATATATTACCTTATCTTAAAATCTTAATTGTTTCTTTAATTTATTCAACTCAGTCTTACGTCTTTCAGTACAGTATCTCTTTATCGTCCTGTAATATATCTTGATAATGAGATACAAACTGTTACCTATTCAAATGTATACTGCATAGGTTAAAAATTCGTTACCTAGTAAGTTTCGTTCCATCGTGTCCAAAATGTCCCCGATATTTAACAATCGTTACCAACCTGAAGGTGCTGCGATAAGAGCTAACTTCAGAACGAACTTTATCATCTGATACATCGGCATCGACCAATTACAAACGCTCACCGGATAGCAAGGGGTGGATCACGTGAGAAGAAGAACCAATCAAAGGTTCTCGTTTGATAAACTGCTAGAAGGAAAGACCAATCGTGTACATTAGACTTTGCACTTCGTCGAAACGCACGTGCGGTAGAGAAAAGCGGCTCAGAGTGTTTCAGAGTTAGTGTGCTTCCTCGTGAAAGGAGTTGGAACGTTGTTTTCGAACGAAATTCTGAGAGGTGTGCGTGCGGTGTTACTGTGGTTAATAAAGAACTGACGGTTTAAACGGGAGCCTTGTGAAACTTTATAAGGGATTGTCAGAGAAAGATGACATTGGGAGCACAAATCGAGGCCTCCACGGAAAATGGGAGTATGAAAATCCCTCTGTTGAACGGCAACGAGGATCAAACAGCTACTGGTTAGTAACGTAATGTGATTTTATAAACTGAACGCCCTGAATTTTTCATCTCTTTAAAGATTAGACGGTACGGTTGCTGGCGTTATGTAATGATTCGGTCAAGTTACCGTGTGTTTCGTTCATTTTAATCTGTGCCTTAACGATGCCGCCTAGGCTAAAAGCCGGGCCCTCGGTGTTATGTAACGCGCGAATTGCGCGAATCTATGTACCGCGAGGGTCATGCGAGCCACGAGCTTCAGACGAGAGAAATTAGCAGAAGACGCAATGTCTATCTAGCAGACGAATTTTCACCCTTCTTACACTAATTATCACGAGCAATCATGCTTTCAATCCTGTCGATATTATTGCCGCGGGTTTTGCAAATAATTGCACAAGAACGCATGAACATATAGTTTGACGTGCTTCTTCTTCTTCTGAAGACGCACCTTCAAATCGATTCGAGTACGATTTCCATTTAATCGTTTTATAATTTTTATTATCTATCTTATACTTCATTTCTTGGAGGCACGTGATCAGTTTCTCATCAGGTGATGAAATCGTGTAACCTGTCCTGTTTAACTACTCGCTTCATTATGCATCTCTTTAGGATGTTAACATTTCATGTGTCTTTAAGATATCGATGCTAAACGTGTGCGTTTATTATTTTGTGTAATTTTTTTAATAGGCAATGTAACAATTGAATTGATAATTAAATTTAGTTGTGCATTATTGTACTGTTTTTTTTTGGATGAAATTGTACAGTATAAGAAGTCGATACATAATATCTGCCAACAATAAGAATTATGTAAATTACATTGCACAATCGTGTGTCTGTTTTGTGTAAAACGATAGTTCTGATTCAGTGCTGCTTCTACAGCCCCTTTTTCAAAGTCCAACGGTCGGTGGAAAACAAATATCTTAATTCGAGTGGAACCCGGTCAATTATCGGGGGATGTGTTATTCATCACCGTCAATTCACTAACCCGTCACGTTAATTTGTTCTTCTTTTAGAACTCTTTAAAAAAAAAAAAAAAACGAAATGAAAGAAAACACGTGCATGTTAATGACCCCGCGCGCATAGGCGTAACTACGGAGAACTTGAAAACAAATTTTTCATGACTGAATTATTTTGTAATCTATACATGTAATTTTTGGGGCCGGCCCTGAGATTAAGGGGCTTCGAGGCGAGCTCCGAAAAAGGGCCCCTTCACATATATGACATAAAAAAAAGTCGCTCAAATAAAATTTATAAAATTATCATTAAAGCTTGTATAACTAATTTAGATTTGCACTTACATCGATTAATATGAATATTATCCAAATTAGCAATTTCCCTATTAGAAATTCCCCAATCACCATTTTCCAAATTATTAGTTTCCAAATGACCAATTTCTCTATTAGCAATTTCTAAACCACCATTTTCCAAATTATCAGCTTCCAAATTACCAATTTCTCTATTAGCAATTTCTAAACTATAAATTTCCCTATTAGTAGACATTACTCTTCTTGCATTCTTAGACGTAAAGTCGTCTAATGGGGGGGCCTTGCGGGGCCCTTATGCGGCCGCCTAGACTGCCTATGCCTTGGGCCGGCCCTAATAATTTTTTAAATAATTATTATGATAATTGTTTATTAATTGACATTTTTTAATAATTAGGCTATATATATATATATATAGAAAAAAAAGTGAAAGTAAAAAATAAAAAAGTTTTTGAATTTCATTGAATAAAGAATGGCGTTTTATGAAAGAGTCACGTGTTTCGAAAGAACAATAGTAAATTACAAAGAATTATTGATAACAGGGGTTATCGGTCTTCGTTTTGACGTTATGTTGTGTTCCTTGCGCTTTGCTTTGACTCCGATGTACTAAAAACGATATTTTATACTGTAATATCTCGTATGATTTTGAAACACGGTTCGATTTCGTAAGTTAAGCCTCCACGTAAGTTCAATGTTATTAGAAACATATTGTCGTATTGTAAGAAATGTAAAACTATTTTACATAATTTTTTAAATAATTTTTTCGGTTAATGTCTACAATTGGGGCCTCAACGAGAAATCAATTAAAAAGAGGTAAATTCTATGTATTTTTGTCCCTCGAATCCAAAACTGATGATAAAATTTGGGGGTCGCTTGTATTTTTAAAGATATGAGAAAAAATATAAACGACCCCCAAACTTTATCAACAGTTTTGGATTCGAGAGGCAAAAATACATAGAATTTACCTCTTTTCAATTGATTTCTCGTTGGGGCCCTAATTGTAGAAATTTACCATTTTTTCTTACACATTTATTACCTTACCTTTGAAAGAATTAAACTAGTTCACCTTGAGTTAATATCTGCCGTGTAGGTTTAGTAAATCGTTAATCAATTTACTAACAGATGGTCATCGTACAAAACGACTTCGTAATTTGTCGAGCTTTCTTACAGAAGACGCGATAGTGATAATGAGACGAACACATAATTAACATCCAACCCTGCCGGTAAATTCAAATGAACCCATCTGTGCGGTACTGAACTCGGTTATTTGTATTTCGATTCGAATAGTTTGGTTATGTGTACGAAACGCAATATTCAAAAGATCGCACTTCGTTGTTGCGCGATTTTATTTAACCAGTAAATAATAAAACGTTTCTTTACGTTATAGGCTGAAAAATGTCTGTTTTCAACAACAATTCAAAATATATATGATCTATCCTTTTCTAGAATAATTAAGATTTAAAGATTTGAGATAAAATTGATTCATAAATTTTGAAATTTAACACTACGATAGATAAATTTATAAAACAGATTATTGCGTAGATCTAATTAATAGCGTTGAACATTTAAAAACGTTTCCGTCTTATTTCGAGTACTTCCGGGTATTCGTAATTATGACGTTTATTAGTTTTTAAAATTAAAACGTTTTAAAATTAGATAACGATGACTCGAAATGTATTTCTCTTTTATTCTCTTTTTTAACACATTTTTGTCTACTTATCTCTAGGTTATTTTCAGTGTTACTTTTCTTATCTTTCGTTTTGATAAAACTTAGTAGAGAACAGCTTTGAATCGGAATAGTAAGAATGTACAATAAGAACAAGATAAAGCGATTCCTTTACAAGATAAATCGATGTAAATTTTGATGTATGGATGTGAATATACATATATGTATATTCACCGACAAAGGTGCGAAGGGTTTAGTTTTATAACCTAAAACCTTTATTATTATTAAGACTAGAAAATTGTTTGTAGATCAGAATCTTTGTAAAAAAGGTAAAAATATAAATAATCTACTGTTTGTTATCATGAAATTTTTCGAATTTCTTTCGATCTTGATACCGCTGGGTGAACGTCCTCTAACAAGTCAATAGAATTTTGATTGGCGACAACTCGGCGATCAATCGATAATCGATACCAACATCAAAGCGGCAAACACTGCGACAATCGAAAGATTCTATTCAATTTAAATCCACTGTTAGTAATATTGCAATTATGCAGTACACAATTCTAGAATTATTTATATATACATTAGGTGTACAAATTAATTCGGTGACTTTAGTATTAAGCCCTCCTAATTAATATTTTTAATTTGAATATTTTCCCGCGGTTTTGAACATTTGAAACATTTATTATAAAATGTTGTATACACTAGTGGAATTAATTTTGGACACTTAAATTTTTACTAAATTTGTTAAAATTATTTAATATAATAATCATTTATATTTTATATTCTAATAATTGTTTTCTAATTTTAGAATACTTTTAATATACAATAAAAATTACAAATTCAACACATCAAAGAAGGTAGAAAAAAATTAATATTTCCTTGGATATCCTTTCATCCTGCGACGTTTCGTGTTGCCAAGCGCAAAAACAAAAATAACAACACAGTTTAGATTTTTTTAAATAAAAATTTTAAAACATTTACAAACCAAATCATGTGAAAATATTAATAGATTATTGTAATATTATAGATTACAATAAAAATACTACAATATCAATTTAACATAGCAAAATATACATTTTTTGCAAAAATATGAAATAAAGAATATTTTTATTCATAGTGTCCAGAATGAATTTCACCGGTGTACGAAGGCCGCTAAAGATCAAGGTCCCGCAGGTGTGAACTATTTGAAATATGTTCGAGCACTCACCACCATGATAGAAACACAATGAACACTGGTAAACGGTTCGCTAGTTAAACCATAATTAATAACGTAACACGTCGAAGATCGACGTTCACCAGGAATGGATGTATATTGCAAACATGAGATCGATAAAAATAGTACGGCATTTAAGTGCGAACTATTTACATTGCCGTTTATTTATAAATGCATTGGTGGATGCAAGTGGTAGACCCACGGATGTCCATTGCCGTCTCTAGTCAGAAATGCTCCCCATTTCTACAGAAACATCTTTTACTTACATTTCTCCTTATGTAATGAAAGCGATAAATAATATTGATGTTATTACTAAAAGAAAAATACTAAACACAATATAAAATTTCCGTTTTCGTTACGCTTATTGAAATAAAAATAAATAACCTTGATTTGTCTGCTTTATGATAAATATAGAATTGTAATTAAGGTTGTGAATTTAGTTACTTTACTGGTTTAACATCGATCAGTAATTGGCATCATTGTTTAATATTTTCATAAGTGTTTGATGATTTATAATAACTTCTGTCATTAGAACAGTTAAACAATATTGATAATTTAATAATTCACATAAGCAATTAGAAAATTATCTATTTCAATAATTATCGCTCGTTAAATTGCAGGTATGAATTCTTTATATGATAACGAAAATATTTTTACAATTTATCTAAATTATTCGGTAAGGTAATCTTTGTACTTTAGTCGACTTAATGTATACATATATCACTGAAAACGGTTAGATAAAGTTGTAAGAAATCTAAAAAATTTAACGTTTCTGCAGAGTTTAATAAATTTGTCTCTTTAGATATGAAGGAAACCGCGGAGGAGACCGGAAGTACGAGCACAGCCTCGAAAAACGTTGTCGAGAAGGGTGAAGTGGAAGCGACGAAAGAAAAAGGAGACGAGAATGAAAAGGAAAAGGAAAAGGACGAGGAAAAGGATAAGAAGAACGATAAGAGTGAGAAGGATGGAGATGGTGATAAGGATGGTAACAGCGAGCAAGAAATTGTTTTTATTCAAGACATGGGATTCACTGTTAAAATAGTTAGTCCAGGTGCTGAACCCTTTGATATACAAGTTTCCAGTATGGAGCTGGTACAGGTAACTGATTGATATACCTTCAAATACTTCTGATTCTATTCAAATTGAAATAAAACGCAAGGTATGTGATTTTTTTATGGTTTCTTTATTTTAACACAAAGTCTACTGTATGACATTAATTATCAATTACAATATTATTTAAATGTCCTCCTCCTCCTTTTTCATTATATTTTCACACAAGTGGAATTCAATTTCATCCTTAGCTCGTCAATAGTAAACTTCACTTTCCATAAACCCCATAAATCATCCGATCTTGGTGAAAAATTACTCGTTCGTTAAATTTGGTCAAACGCATCAAGCTCGGAAAAAAAGCGGGGAATGATATTGTTTTTCATAATTAATGTCATAAAATAGACTTTGTATTAAAATAAATTAACCATTAGTACTATGCGTTTTATTTCAATTTGAAGATGCGACGCTCAATTTGAATAACCCTATACAAAAGCGATAGAAATAAACATTTATATTATTTTACAGGAGATCCATCAGTTGCTGATGGACCGCGAGGACACCTGCCACCGTACATGTTTCTCCCTACAGCTGGACGGCAACACCTTGGATAACTTTGCCGAATTGAAGAATATCGAAGGTCTGAAAGAAGGTTCGGTGATTAAAGTAGTAGAGGAACCATACACGATGCGGGAAGCTCGTATACACGTGCGACACGTTCGTGATCTGTTGAAGTCTGTGGATCCTGCGGACGCTTACAACGGCGTCGAGTGTGCCAGTTTATCGTTCCTAAACGTCGTCACGAACGGCGACATCCTCGAGAAGAAAAAGAGCAGGGCGGATTCGGTCGACTGTACTCCACCTGATTACATTATACCCGGCTGTAAAGATAGACCGTTACTACCTCTACAACCGCAAGCCAAAGAGCAGAAGTGTCCTCCTTGTTTAAAAGTAAGGGCTCGTTGATTCAAAGTCGTTCCCTATCTTGGTTTATTTTATAAAAACAATTAATTTATTGCAGGTTTTAACGACTTCCGGATGGAATCCACCACCGGGCCACAGAAAGCTTCACGGTGATTTGTTATACTTACACGTTGTAACGTTAGAGGATAAGCAATACTATTTGACTGCGTGCGCCAGAGGATTCTTTGTCAATCAGTCAACAAAAGAGGTGTTTAATCCAAAACCAGCGACCCCGAGTCATCTGTGTCACAGCTTAATTGAACTACTGAATCAGCTTAGCCCGGCATTTAAACGGGGTTTCGCTGCTATGCAAAGGCGAAGAACCCAACGGCATCCATTTGAAAGAGTTGCCACACCGTATCAACTCTATGCGTGGTCCGCGCCTCAGATTGAACACACGATTGACGCGATACGCGCCGAAGATAGTATGCTTCGTTTTTCTAATTATTTATCTAGATTTAAATGTAATAAAATGATACATCGTTTATTTATGTACAGCTTTCTCCTCCAAGTTGGGCTACGAGGAGCACATCCCTGGACAAACTAGAGACTGGAACGAGGAGTTACAGACAACAAGAGAGCTGCCACGTAAAAATTTACCAGAAAGACTGCTTAGGGAACGCGCTATTTTCAAAGTACATCCACCTTATTCGATTTTGTATTAGATGTACAAATTAATTCGGTGCCTTTTCTTTATTTTAATTAAAGATTTATTTTTAAAAAGCCATAGTAATTATTGGAATAATCGTTATTATTATTATGTTGTCATTTGTCAAATATTCAAATTAAATACATTAATTAAGCAGGCGTAATACTAAAGGCACCGAATTAATTTGTACACCTAATATATTATAATACTTGCTTTTTTATTAATTTAATTTATCATTCAGGTTCATAGTGATTTCGTTGCGGCTGCAACTCGAGGAGCAGTAGCCGTGATAGACGGTAATGTGATGGCAATAAATCCAGGGGAAGAGGCAAAAATGCAGATGTTCATTTGGAACAATATCTTCTTCTCGCTTGGATTCGACGTTAGAGATCATTACAAAGAGTTAGGCGGTGATGCTGCTGCTTTTGTCGCGCCTCGTAATGATCTTCAAGGTGTCAGAGTATACGCTGCCGTTGACTTACCTGGTCTTTATACACTCGGTACCGTTGTAATCGATTATAGGTTTGTACGCTATATTAGATACACGCGTTCCTTTCGTCACATTATTTGTACGACGTGGATATTTTGTAGCGGATCATTTATACTTGTTCGATGTTCAATATTGAATGGATGTTAAGTTTTCGTGGTAATCACTCGTAATTCCTCTGCATAGAGGATATCGTGTCACCGCTCAGTCGATCATCCCAGGAATCTTGGAACGCGAGCAGGAGCAATCTGTTGTTTATGGTTCCGTAGATTTTGGTAAAACGGTTCTCACGCATCCCAAGTACCTTGAATTGGTTAGTTCTTCACTATAACAATATTAACCCTTTGCACTCGTATTTATATTTGAGAAGGCTACCGATCAACTCAGAATTTTCTATCATATTCGATCAAAATGAAAACATTTTTATGGGAACATATTAAAATTTAACTAGTTTAATAGAAAAAATTAGAAAAATATATGTATAATAATAAAATGTAGGATGGCGACATAGGAGTGGAAAGGGTTAAACCCTCTATTGCATGAATTTTTATGACGAGTTGTAAAAAATATATATGCCTGTTAGTCTACTTAAAAATGAGTATAGTCATGAAATAAATAACAAAATTTTATTAGAAAATTGTGCAATGTTCCCACTTGGAACCAAGTCAGAGTCTTCAATATTGTTTACTTAATTTACTATAGAACATTTGAAATTTAAATGCAATAGAGGGTTAATTAATATGTAAGAAACATTTGTCAATTATGTTTCATGATCTATTGTATATTTCATAGTTGAACAAAACTGGTCAACAATTAAAAATTCTTCCACATAAAGTAATCAACGATGCCGGTGAAGAAATTGAACTTTGCAGTAGCGTGGAATGCAAAGGAATCATCGGTAATGATTCTCGACATTACGTGCTGGATTTGTTACGGACTTTCCCTCCTGATGTTAATTTCCTTAAATGTAAGTTGATATATTCAACAACATAGTCGAAGTTCATTTTTATTACTACATTTTATTGCACTTATTCTTTATAGTGGAAGGCGTCGAGCTAAGCAAAGAAGCTAGAGCTTTAGGTTTTCCAATCGAGCACAAGCATAAATTAGCTTGCCTTCGTCAGGAACTGATTGATTCCTTTGTTGAAGCTAGATACGTCCAATTCATTAAGCACGCCGCTGTTCATCTTCAACAATTAACGTCTGCGAGAAGAGTGCAGAAGGAGAAGGAAACTATTGTTAAGGCAAGAACAAATTTCTCATCTTCCTTAACATCTTTCAGTAGAAACAATATTATAATTTAATCTCTCATTAATTTTAGGAAGGTAAAAAAGAAGAATCAAATGTCGTTGCAGTGGATAGTAATAAGGAAGATTCTACTCATGCGTTAATTGAAACAGACGAGGCCAAAAAGATTGTGGAGAGTATTACTGATTCCATTACTGGTGGAGAGAAACAAGAATGTACGTGGTATAATTGATATATTATTTTGCCATAAGATGTACATACCTAAATTTATTAATTTCTTTCTATTTCTTATTTCGGGTTTTACGTCGCATTGACCTTCAAATCATTAGCGACAACTAGGACCTGTTTCCTTAGTGGTAGATGTTAATGTCTTTTAGGTAGTTTAGGGTATTTTCTACGTGTTTCTCTATTATTATTAAAACTTCAGTCTTCAGATTCTATATTTTTGTCTTTGGATGTTGTATCTTCTGCATTCAAATAGTAGGTGGTTGATAGTGATGATTTTCTGTTTTTTTTAATTAGGTGAGGTCATAAAATAAATAATAAAATTTTATTAGAAAATTGTGCAATGTTCCCACCTAATTAATTAGGTGTGTGAGTTTTTGTACGCTATGTTAGATACACAAAATATTCTACGATATTAGAATAGATTTTGATCTATTTTAAAAATCTATATTTACTATAAAAATATTTTACTATATCAGTGACCTATTCTAAGCCTTAATTTCCTTATTTTAGTGGAAGAGAGTACGAAGGAAATAGTTCGAAGAGCTGCCGCAGCTGTTGGAAGTTTGCGAGAAGCTGAATTCGACGTTAGATTTAATCCAGACGTATTTTCGCCGGGTGTAAAACATCCAGATCCAAATGGTCCTGCGTTAAAGAAACAGAAACAGTTGGTGCAAGATGCTGCCGACTTTTTATTGACTGTACAAATTCCTACTTTTGTAAGTGTTACTAAAGAACATATTTGCTCTGATATATGTATATACACATACTTCAGTGAAATTTTTCTGTTATAGATTCGAGAGTGTTTGGATCACACAGCTGCTGCGATGGACGGTAGTACATTAGTGGAAGCTTTGCACGGTAAAGGTATCAATGTACGGTATCTTGGTAAATTGGCTGCCATGTTAGCTAACGTTCCACAGTTACAGTATCTTAAACGTATCGTTGTTTCGGAACTTATTTTACGTTCAGCAAAACACATCTTCACGTTTTACATGCAGGTGCGTTGATTAAATTAGAACAGCTTTTATTAAGCTCAGGTGCTAGGTAATTTAATATCCTTTTGTTTCAGGGTACAGAATTAATGAGCCTATCTGCAGCAATTAGTCATTTCTTGAATTGCTTATTGTCTTCAGCACAAATCATTCATCCGCAACAGAATCTAGAAGAGGTACGATCGCTACTAGTAGAGGATATTAACCCATTAACTGCCAAATTTTTATTTTTGATATTCTTGTTTAACATTTTATTTAACATAATCCTATTGCTAGTGATAAAAATATGTATATATATACATTCAAATCCTCATCTGGGGATCGTGGTAGCAAATGGGTTAATTCGTTCCATTCGTTGTGTACATTCAATTATCGAAACGAAGGGTATCAATAAAGGAAATAATTTTCTAGGTGAAAATTTATATAATTACCGGTTTCAGCTTCAGAGTAAAACTGCCAAGCGACGCAACAAAAGGAAAGGTAGAAATAATGGTCCGCAGCAGTCCGAGGTGGAATGGGCTTCCTTAACACCAAAGTCTCTCTGGCAACAAATTAAAGCGGATCTGAAAAGTTACTACGATTGGGAAACACCGTGCCCGGAGTCATTGGACGCTACGATAGAGAATTTTCATCTTCAGAAAATCTCTCTGCTGCGCAACTTCTGTATAAAGACTGGTATTCAAATATTGTTACGCGAATACAACTTTGAAAATAAGAACAGAGCGACGTTCTTCGAAGAAGATATCCTCAGTATATTCCCTGTTGTTAAACATATCAATCCTAGGGTAAGTAAAAATACCGCTCTAAAAATTTCTTGTCTTATTATTTCTTTTTATTTATTTTTAATTTTTCTAGGCAAGCGATGCGTACAATTTCTACACGACAGGTCAAAGTAAAATTCAGCAAGGTTATTTGAAAGATGGATATGAATTGATCAGTGAGGCATTAAATCTCTTAAATAATGTTTACGGTGCTATGCATCCTGAAATCGCGCAGTGTCTTAGAATGCTTGCGCGATTAAATTACATAATGGGTGAACATGGAGAAGCTCTTGCTACTCAACAAAAAGCAGTTCTTATGTCGGAAAGAGTTAATGGAATTGATCACCCATATACCATTACAGAATATGTAAGTACCAGATACAACAATTTTGATTGAGCCAGCAACCTGTATCATTATACTAACATTACCCTTAATACTTGTTGAAAGATTCATCTAGCTCTATACTCCTTTGCCAATGGTCAAGTGTCTGTGTCATTGAGGTTACTATACAGGGCGCGATATTTGGCGTTATTAGTTTGCGGTGAAGATCATCCAGAAGTAGCGCTTCTTGATGTGAGTATAAGTATACCGGGTGTCTCATAAACACCTTGTCTAACATATAATATATAAATCATTAATGTTTATTATTTATACAGAGTAACATTTCGCTGATACTTCACGCCGTTGGAGAATACGAATTATCGCTCCGCTTTTTGGAGCATGCTTTAGCTCTGAATCTCCGATACCATGGCCCAAGGTCTCTGAAAGTAGCTGTCTCTTATCATCTCGTTGCCAGAACTCAGTCTTGTATGGGTGATTTTCGTGCGGCATTAAACAACGAGAAAGAAACTTACGCTATATACAAGCAACAATTAGGCGAGGATCACGAGAAGACCAAAGAAAGTAGTGACTGTTTGCGACACCTTACCCAGCAGGCCGTTGTTTTACAAAAGAAGATGAACGAAATTTATACCGGTAAATCCGGTGTCAGTCTGCCACCAATTCAGGTACAACCACCCAGTATGGGATCCGTGCTCGACATGTTGAACGTGATCAACGGTATTCTGTTCGTTCAAATCAGTCAACAGGATATTGAAAACTTTAAAGCTGAAATAGAGAAACGACAGAAAGAACAGACGCCTGACGGTGAAACCAAGGCGCTTCAAAATGGAGGCAAGAAAGAAAATAAGAAGGAGGACAAGGATAATAATAAGAAAGAAGAAAAAGAGAATAGAAAAAATGAGAAAGAATGTAAGAAAGATGAGAAAGAGAATAAGAAAATAGAAAAGAAGGTTGATGCGCAGAAAATAGAATTGAAGAAACTTGAAGAAAACAAGACAACGTTAGAACCAGTGGCCGCAGAAAGCTGAGCTCATTCTAAGTCGCTAATGATGATACTTAGTAGTTTTTTTTTTCTGAATCCTAGTCTTTTCCTGCCCGCGCGTCCAGTCTTTGCAGGAGTAACGCGAGTACGGTATACATAATAAATTGATTGGGATTAAAACGAATATGGCAGTGATTGTTCGATGAGGATCGTTATTTGATGTATCGTATATACATTTATGAAAAAAAAAAAAAAAAGTGCTATCAGAATTGAACTTTTACAGTGTGGCGATTATTGACAATATATGCGTGAAATTTTCGAGAGCTAGATTTTTTAACGCTTACGATGCTCGATTATGATACGCCAAGTTACAGAAATTCATTTGACTGATTTACGACTGCATATATTCACTAATATAAAATTAATTCTTCACTTGTGTAAATAATTCTGAACAAAGAATTCATTGCCTTAGCAGACGTGTTTACCATAACGTTGCTCATAGTTTGATTAATTACAGATTTAACGAACAAACGGGGTATGTTTTTGAAAGGATTAAAAGACAATTTGTGTCGCCTATATCGTCGCATCTTTTTCTAAAGGCTCAATTAATTCTATATCGAGAAAATTATTACACTTCCATCGATCGACGAGATAATTAGCGTTTGTTCCAGCGTATTGCACAAGTGTTGCTAAATTGAAATGGTATGCAACGTACCGACAGAGTTATAATGATCATGAAACGAATAATCGATTTTATTATTATAGAATATAAGTCAATTGTTCTTTTTTTTTTGTACCTCTTTAATAGGCTATTTTGTTAGTACACATATGAGATCATTGTTTGTGCCATCTAAACATTACTGTCACTTTCCCATTCTAGTTGCCATCAGTAAGTCCAATGGAATTGTTGAAGTACTAAATAATTGGAATTTATAACAAACAATATTAAAATACACGAAGGTCGACATGGAATAACAAGAACAATTCATACAATTTTATTATCATTTTTATATCATATACATCACGTAAAAAGCTTTCTTTCATCTGTCATTATTTTATCGTCATCGTATGCGAGGATCCGAATCTGAAAAAGAATTTAAATTTTACAGATTCTTAATTACCGTTTGTATGAAAAAAAAGAGGATATTTTATAAACAAATGGTGGCAGCAAAAGCATGGTATAATGACAGATGCGTTGTTGCATTCACGAACATGAATAAAGTTATCAAAAGCAGCTCATTAGTCAACATATTATAGAAGTAGCGTCAATTTACTAATTACTAATAGAGAAATACCGCAGTTAGTCTTAGTGTTATACAAATGAAAATCAACTGTTACCGAAATGTTAGTCTACAATTTTTTGTTGTTTAATCATAAAATTTTATTAAATAGCATTTGTTGTACGGAGGATATTAAGGGCAAACACCCCACATCAAGATTTTATTATATAATTGAATGATTGAGTTGAAAACATCAGTGGTTTGTTAATATTTTGTTTTAAATATGAAATTATTTTGTGTTCTAATTGTTATACGTATAACAATAATAGTAATAATGAAAGATGAATAAATGGAAAAGCTGTGTAGTTTCTGTTTAACAAGTTTATATAATTTATAACATGGAAATATCATATTGCACTTGTTAGCCAAAATGTATGATAAAAAAAATGCTAGTTAATAAGGACTATTGATTATAAATAAAGTTAAATACTTGATTTACATATATTTTACCTGTTACATAATTTCATAGAATTTACACATGCAATTAGCCATTTTACATGGAATATTAATAGCCTAAACAGATTCCACACTGCTTTCAAATGATTTTTCGCTTTCTTGCGAATTAGCATCATTACTTGCACCACTTTTTAATCTCTTCCTTTTCTTTTTATTAGGTCTTGCGCACTGCTTTTGAAAATACTCCCTGACGTCTAATTTGTTTATTAAGTACTGTTTAAATGTTTCTAAAGCATTTATTCCACCAGTTCCTTTTTCAAAAATCATAGATATTTTTAGATCATCATTTTCAGGTTCTTCATGCTCTATCGGTTCAACAAAAAAGCTACATATTAGCAGAGGTTCTTTCATATCCACGTTTTCTGCTGACAATTGAACCTGTTTTTGTGCAGTGGTATTATCTTTTGTATTATTTTCAATTAATTCTTCTGAACAATTTTTTGTAAGATCATTTGATGTATTTGTATCTTCTCTGTCATGATCTCTAGATTTGTTCATTTGTCTCTGAGCTAATCTACGCTTTCTACGTGCATGCGACCATGTATCATTTTCCGCAATTAACTGACATGACCACCCATTGAAATCGTTAATAGGTAAGTTTAATTCCTTGATTTTTACCTGCATGTTAAACAACATATATTAAGATGTTAAGCTTAGCACAATATATTATATTTAAATATATATGTTACATTTATTTCTTCCATTGTTTCTTCTAAAATGTTGATTACATGGTCAAAGGAAGAAAATTTATGTTGCATAGGGAACTGTATTTCAGTTGGACGCCTCTCTCTTAATAACTTTGCAATGTAATCTCCACTTTTTCTAATAACAGGTGCAGTTGTCAGGTCAATAACATCTTTTGGTAGAAATGACCATGCCAATCCCCATCTATTAACAAACATATTAGTATATATACATTTGTGAACAAGTAGAATATTTGTAATAAGTGTTTACCGTTTTGTGTGACCTTGACAAAATTCCGTCCACGTTGCATTCTCTATATTCTTTTTCTTTAAAAATTTCAACAAAAATAATAAATTGCTTCTTCTTCCAAACATTGTAGTATAAATTTTGATTTTTTCTTTCGTCTCTATACTCTCATTAATCATCTGTGTTACAAATTCTCTTTCACCACCCTGAACTGTAAGTTCACCACTGTTTCCAGTTGGAGCATTTCTTGGTGGTAATCTTTTTGGCACTTTATCTGGTGCTTCCTCTATTTTGAAAAAAGGTGGATTACACATTGAGAAATGGTATACTTGATCTTTGTCAACTGCACCTTTCAAAATTGTTTTTTCATCTACCTTTAGTACTGTAAAAAATATATTAATTTAAAATTAAAGTATAAGTTGAATAAGTTGTAGATAATCTGTGATATAATTATACTTTTTATTAAATGTTGCAACTTATTATTTTCAATCTGATGATTGGCTGTTTGTATGCTGGTTTCATCGACTTCTGTTCCAATCATTTGATTTCCATACATTTTTGCAAACAACAAAGGGTAAATACAAACTGCCCCTGTACCAATGTCTATTCCTATAATTTCTTCCATGCCATGAAAAGAAGCATGTTTCATTAAATCTTCAATCCATAAAATATAGTTCAAACGCAATGGCAATGTAGGTACTAATTTCTTTGGAGGTATTTTCACTTCTAGATTAAAATCATGTTTTAATAATACTTCTGTGAGTACTCGTAAACTCTCTTCATTCTTGAAGTCAATCTTCACTTTACCTGCTATATCCTAAAAGTTGAATAAACAGATTACATTTGATACTTGATTTTAACAGTATTAATATTGTTATTCAATTTAATATCTTACTATATTTGCAACATTAAGAAATTCAGGATATTGTAATGCAAGTTGTTTGAAGTCTGGTACTTTTTTATATTTATTCCTTGGATGCATAAATTTTCTTAATGACATCTTAAGAATTTATTTGTTTATATTATCGTAACTTTAATAAATAACTTCAGACATTATAAATTGTACAAAATATATTTAAATATATATTGTCATAGTTTTGTTTATTATATCAGCTGATGAGGATAACCACTGGGATTATGCGCATTAAAGAAAATGATTTTTATAATGCGTTATTTACTGATTGTTACAAGTATTTGATTAAAAACTATTTTCACATTATTTTCAATGATACTTTACATTAAAAAACATTCAAAGTTATATTTTTAATGCTAAAATCATATTGATATCTGCTCCTTCGTCAATTCTTATATTTACATATATATAAATACGTGATAATGTAAACATTTGTATATTTAATTGTACAGTACATGGAGCATACGATTAATTTCCAATGTTATCGAATAATATTGATATTTATTACAAATTGTTTACATAATAATAAAAATATTATTTTTATGGAAATATCCCTAGGATGTAAATGCATTAACTAGTAACTTTTCATTGTAATTTAACGGGTAGGTTCAATGATTATATTTCTAGAATTAACATTAGTTAATGGTTTTTGTTGCAAATTTATTCAACTATCTAAGGTTCAAAATAAAACAAAATATAATTTCAATATATAAGAAGAGAAAAAAATTTCTTGAAACTGCTGTATAGTAGTGGGAATGTTGGCAGCAGTGCGCGTGCTCAAATCTATCGTGATGACAATTTTAAGTGGTGACAGCCGCGTATGTGCCTCGTTGCCCTCGGAGCAGTGTTATAACCGATTTTGCTCGCACGAAACTGAATTTTTTGACTTAGTGCGTGATTCATTTCGCAAGCAACATATGGAATATTAATCTAACCAAAGGTACGTGGTACACAGTACTTTTAGTAGATTTCAGAAACAGATGGTTGTCGGTGAATCGTTTCGCCTGACAGTTTGTTAATATGCACAAGTAGCCACTCTGACAGTTTTCCTTTTTTCGTCGTCATATTGTTAGGCACCTGTTACTGATCTTTCATTTCTCGTTCTTTTCAATCGAATCTCAACATCTCGTTAACGATTTATGTTTTGTTCACGTGAAAATAGGCGTGATATTAGTAAATTGTGTGCGAAATAAGAATTAATGATGTCACATTGAAAATATTTATTTCTTCTGTTATGAATTCCAATTTGTATAGATGGCATTCTGTTTAGAATCTCTTCATCTTTCGTAAAATCTTTTATAATTTAAAACTGTAAAATAAAATAACATTACTTATGCTTGAAATTAAAAATACTTTTATTGATAAATAGATAAAAGATTAAATAACTTATGATCCTTGATCATATTATAGTACATGTAATTTTTTAGAATTTATAGTATCATGAACCTCCTATTTGCAATATGATCGACAAATACATATTTGTTATGATTATACCATGTTGCGTGCCAGACAAATAGTCTGTAGTATCAATCATACAATTTACATCGTACAATTTAATTATCAATATCAGGCATTTAGGGACCATGTTCGGTTTGTGTTAAGCTAATTAAATAATACCATTTTGTAACGTGTTTCTTTATTTCAAACTCAAAAATTAAGTAGAAATTATATTTCAGACCGTTTGATGAAACAAATGTACAGTTAGCTAGAAAAGAGTAAAAGGTGCAAGGAATTATTTAACACCTTGCTGCTTCTTTCGCAGATTCAATTCAATGTAGCCGCAAACTAGTTCAAAGTAGCAACATTAAAATCTCCATGCTAGACTGAAAGGAAATTTTTCTCATGAAAGTGCAGCTGCATGGACAATGCATTTCACTGAAAATGCTGTTGCTAAAATAGTAGAAAGCATTTTTGAATCATCGCGTTCCATGACAGAGGAATGTGCAGCCCATTAGATTCTTTTTTCGTTTCCCTCGATCGCTTTGTTTCCACATGCATTTGGACGATTGCTTTCCACGTATACGCGCGATATACGTAGTCGCGTATTGTGCAACTGTAACGGTAAAGCGATCCGTCATTCATTCTTACGGAATAATTAAAAAAGCATATTGTTGTAAGCAATACGCGTATGCGCACAGGTCGACGAAGAGTCCAGAAAGCAACGTAACAAATTTTCTTTCGATACAATGTACACCGGTGAAAGGTGTCTAATTTTCGCGATATAATTATTAAAACAGTACACGTTCTTTCACACGTTAATTCAGCATAGAAATGATGACCGTATAACATTTCATCCTATCTAGTTATTTTTCTATTACTCGTTGGAGTTTTTGAAAATTATTCAAAATTTTTTTAATGCACTGTATTACCGACCAATTACCGACCGGCGGTAATCAATACCAATTTATTTTTATTTGATTTAAAAAAAATTAATCATCAAAATGTCACGCTTGATAAAGGGATATGTTTAAAAAAAAAAATTTACAATTTTATTATATATTTATGTGTAATTATGAAAAAAGGTAGAATTGTATTTTGAAATTACATAAATGTACCCAGAGTAACATGTTACGTAGGCGCGTCTAAAAGGGACGAATTCGATGTTATTTATAGTGAAGAGTATGTCATAAATGAAAGACATGTTTTTCTTCTTAAATTAATTAGCGTTTCAATCGTGTAATGAAACGTAACAAGTGGGGGGAACTCTTTACATACTCTTTGCGAATAAACAAATATTTACTGTTTAACCAGCAATCGAAATTTTTCTGTTTGCCTTCATAGAAGTGCTTTATTTACTCCTAGAACTTTTTTATTCGATATAGATAAAATTGTACGCGGAAGGATCTACAATGAATACTGTTTTCATTCGTTCATCTCGTTCCCATACGATTCGAGACAATTATCAAACGAATATACTGTTTATTATTGATTTGTTCACCTCTATCAGCATATCTGATAAGGTGACTATATAATTCTTATACTCGTTTTATTTTGCATTATTATTTTTTTTGTATTATATTTTTTCCCGAATTTCTTTTTTTTTTTTTACTGTATTATTCTGCTTTGCATTAATCTGCATCAACGTGTTAACAATTTTAGTTGAACAATTGACTGCATTATACAGGGTGTCCCGTAACTAGTGGTACAAGCGAGTAGGGGGTGATTCTACGTGAAAAATTGAATCGAAAATGTAGAATAACATTTTTTCATATGACGCTTTATTTTCGAAAAAAATAAGTTTGAAAATTTATCGAGTACACGTGTACTTGATTTAGCTTCAGTTCGCCGGATTTTACTATCTTACTGTTCCGAGTCATAAATTAGACGAATTCTGGAAATCTGTCCATCGATCCATTGACAACGTTTACGAACAAGAATGGAGGTGATCTACAATGAAATCCGTCGAGGTGAAGCTGGTTCAAGTGCACGCGTACTCGACAAATTTTCAAACTTATTTTTTTCGAAAATAAAGCGTCATGTGAAAAAATTTTATTCTACATTTTCGATTCAATTTTTCACCCCCTACTCGTTTGTACCACCAGTTATGGGACACCCTGTGTATCCATTCATAAAAAGGGCCATGCCCGTACATACCAATAAATAAATAAATCATACCGAATCAATGATTTCAAATAATTCTCTGTAAAAATTTCATCGCTTCTTCCGTATCGAATCAAGTCGCTGTTTTTTCTTCTTTTTTCTTTATTTACTCGTTACGAAAGAGAGAGGTCGATGCGCATGTGGAGCATCCTAGCCTGCGCGGGCTCCATCGACCCTCAAACCATTCCGTACTTTCCAGTACGCGTTTGGCGATCCTACTGTGCCAGTTAATCGAAAAAGGGAACGATAAAATCAACATCGATTGGCCAATTAACCGGTGGCCCTTGCCGGACGAGACTGTTCGCGATCGATCGGTATATCCGTGATATCTAATTGTATCAGTGAATTGTTCCGGTCCTCCACACCTGTCTCCTACCTTGTGCTTCGACTTAATTTCATCTTTTCATTTCATTCTGTAAGAAACTTCAATTTCAGAACCGTTCCGAACAAGTTCCTTAACCTTTGTGTACCGTTCGCGTACCGGGATCATAGATGAAATATAATTCTGTCGCTTTATCATTGAATAGTAATTGTCGTCAGGTGTATCAATTGATTTCCGGTTGGTAAGGTGTTGATATCTAACCTTTACAACAAAACGAATTATCTAGTATTTTTAACCGACTTCGATAAAGGAGGTTATTCAATTCGATCAGTATTTTTCTTTTTTTTTTTGTAAAATTAAATTATTTATTTATTTATTCATTTCTAAATGGGATTTATTTATATTTAATAATATATAAATTGTAATTAATATATAGAAAAATTACTAGATTCTGAATTTTATTCGGTAAGAAGATTGAAATAGAGAATTAGGTGAATAATATTATATTTAATAATATATAAATTATAACTAACCCATTTGCTACCACAATCCCCAGATGAGGATTTGAATATATATATATATTTTTTTTTATCACTAGCAATAGGATTATGTTAAATAAAATGTTAAACAAGAATATCAAAAATAACAATTTGCCAGTTAATGGGTTAATATACAGAAAAATTGTTAGATTCTGAATTTTATTCGGTAAGAAGATTAAAATAGAGAATTAGGTGAACAGGGGTATGAGAAGATGCATCTTCCCGAGCTCTTTTGGGAAATCGTTCGAGTGCTGCACGGAATGGGGCCATAAATCTAGAGAAATGTAGTACCCAGAGATTCTATTTAAAATTATTTCTCAATATGTAAGTTGTTCAGCAAGTTCGAGTCATCGAGGGGCCGGAAACATTCCCGAGTACTTCTGAAGCGATCTACCATCGATATTTATAACAATCGCATCATTCCAATGTACAGGGTGTACCTTAAATAGTTTTCCATAGATTTCACGAACGGTTGTATTTCGATCCTTCGCATGGGTCACCAATGACCCACGGTATTCGTCAAACTTTCCAGTCGACGAAAAAAAAAATATTTTGCAATTTAATATGTTTACGTGAAATGGTGGAAAGTGAAACGAAAGCGTGGAGAATTGAATGCAATCATTCGAGAATTTTTGATACAAAATAATATGGTAAAAATCGAGTGAAAATTGGAAATGAGAGTCTGAAAGAACCGTTCAACTTTCAAGTATAAACTACGTCGATCTAAAAAGTAGCTGGGTTGAAGTAGCTAAAATAACTTGGAACGACTCAAGTGGAATACACTATCTTCTGAATAATTATGAACGCTATCTATAAACAGGCACTTCGTGTCCAATACCAGTTCTCTTATCACAGAACAAATTTCAGGTGGTGAGACATTTTTCTTGCCAGTGGCATCGCGTTTCCTAGTAATTTTAAAACAGTATGAATTTTTCTAAATAATTTTCAAAATTAACCGAGACGCATACGGTGCGTCACGTATAATGTACACGGGACGCATAAGGTGCGTCGTTGGTTATATAAATACAGGACGCATCCGGTGCGTCTAGTTCCATAATTTATAATTTTCGAGAATCTAATATACATTGTACGAAAATTTCGGGCAGACCCGTAATTTGTACACGTTGCAGGTGAATACGAAATGAAGGAACACCGTGGGTGGGAATCATGGATCGGTGATCACGCGTTTTTAACACTAGATTGCCGGATGTTGGGTATATACCTATTTTGCCTGCATATATGAACTTTTGGAACTAAGGAGTAGGGAGGGGGAAGGAATTGGTATTTGTATACAATATCAATCATAGTGTCCGTACGTCTAGTGAAAAAGCACTGACTTTGGGGTCCAAGTTTAACCGCAGCAAATATCATAAATCTAATTATTTAATAAAAGCGTTAAAATAATTAACATAATCATCTGATAAAAGCTTTAGAATATCCAATAATTTAGAATTTCAATCATTTATTTGAAATTACAAAATACACTAGACGGAACTGGATACTAAAAAATAGTAAGTAGATGGGATTTTTGGGTCATGATCGTGTCTCCTGGTTCGAAATTTTATCTCAATTTCAGTAATTTATTTGAAGTTACAAAATACACTAGACGAACGGACACTATGATTGATATTGTACATTTCATAATTCAATTAAAAACAAACATATGTTTTAAAAAAAATTATTAAAATTTTTCTATATATATAGCAATAAAATCGTAAATGAGTCAAATAGACTCGCTCCGGCAATCTAGTGTTAACCTTTATTATCATTTATGAAATTCTCTTGAAACTATAATATAATTATTTCCTTCCTAAAATTTGCAGGCGGCAAATTCCTATACGAATAAAACAATGGTATCAATTCAATTTTACAGGTATTTATCGAGCGCGTTATCGTTCCCACTTTCGTGTACAGACGTTCGTACATACCTTAAATTCCGCGCTAATTCAGGCTACCGAGAACCGTAAATTATTCTATCCGATCGCTTGTGTATTTTCCTCGGCGCGTTGCGTTCGTTTGCTAATCCATTCGCACGCGCTAATTGCTCGCCTTTCTTCTTCATCTTCCATTATTTCTACGCGTTTCCTACACGAGCACGATGGAACGGTTGTTCGTGGAAAATCCTGGGGAATAAAATTATCTCGAATCTGTTTCAAGCAGAGAAATGAAAAGATGAAAAAACCCAGCGAATCCCATGTTCGAAGAAAGTATTTCCGCCTGAGCATCGAGCCTAGAACTGTTCTGCGAATGATCGTTGAAAAATTGCGCTCCGTGACGAGTGTTTCGCGGAAAAATCGAAAGTGATTACCGTGACTAGGTGTTTAGAAAAAAGAAATAAAAAATAAAAATCGAACTACGTTCTCGATCGTTCGCGACAGAAAAAGGAAAGGGTTTCTCGATGGTTCTTCGTGGTTTGCTGGCACCAGCGGCGGCGCGATGGACACGAAATAAAACATTGAAAAGGTAGTCTGAATACATTAAAATTGCTTTCAAAAAAGAAGAATTACATCTTCTTTTCAGTCCATTGGGAAAAGGTTAAAAAAGAAGAAAAAGGGAGAAGTATATTCCTGTAACGAGGATTCGTCGTGGTCTTTCGAATCCATTTAATTGGCGATTCAATGATCACTCGTTCCCTCTAGAATCCATTAATTACATTGATACTTTGCTGAACGGACGGCAGGTTAACGCATCGACTCGTCAAAGTCGGTTCGTTAGTGAAATTTTTCGTTTCTCGCATTAATTATGATTGTTGAAGAGGTGAGAGGAGTGTATACCTTATCGTCGATCTCCCTTACCGCATCAGAAAAAAAAAAAACAGTAATTAAATAATGAAATAGAAAATACTCGGTATCGTTCGCTTTCTTGTATCCGGAAACTTGAAAAAAAAATAGAATAGGAAAGCAAATTTTCTATTGCAACATTCGAAATTTGCAATTAAAAATTCGCCGTCCTGATTATTTGAAATGGGCTCCAAAAAGGGGGGTGAAAAAAATACTCGGTATCGTTCGCTTTCTTCTATCCGAAAATTTGAAAAAATAAAATAAAATAGGAAAGCAAATTTTCGATTGCAACATTCGAAATTTGCAATTAAAAATTCGCCGTTCTGATTATCTGAAATGGGCTCGAAAAAGGGGGTGAAAATTTAATAAATAAATCAGAATTGATGATCTAGCGGTTCTTAGAAGAATCCGGGTATAAAGGTGTTAAAGCATTACTCATCGGTATGGAAGTAATTGATAAGTAACGAATGATTGAAATTGCAGGGGTCAAGAGAAGCAGCAGGCAGCCGGTCAATTAGGATTATCACGTTATGGACCGCAGGTGATGAGCGTGTTGTGTTTATGCACCACGGTACATCAGACCGGTCAGAGCAACAGGCAGGCTAGCAAGACACTTCCGAGCTCTCCGCCGCCGATTCAATCCGAGGAAGAGAGGATAAACTCGTCGCAGGAAATACCCACCGACGAGCTGGCTCTATTAGCTAAGCTGGAGGAAGCCAATAGGTGAATTATCGCTGTTGAGAACCGTTTACTCATCGTCCCTGCATGCGGCTAGTCGATCATGCTTTAGATATGTCCATGCTTTCACTTATGGTTCGTGTAATTCAAAGCTCAAAGTAATCGAGGAAGATTTGTGTTTATAAAATAACAAACTATACTCTTGTATAAGGCTTTAGATGTAAGATCCTTCAATTATTTTGAGCAAGCTGTAATCTATATTCAGTTGGCATTTGCTTGGATTTTTGTATCACAGAGTCGAGTGAAATTATTAATATTCGAGAAGAACAGTAAAGTACTTATTCATTCTAATGTATCTCATACGCTCATATCACTGAAAATAATTCAAATAACATAGAAATATGTGTCTCAGTAGAGTGATATGATTGATAACAGGCTTATCGAATCGGATGCAAAGTCGTTGAACTCGCTTCATAGCAATCACAGTAGGAAAGGTTCTGACACATCTCAGGTGTCGGTGGCGTCGGGGGGCAGCGGTGGAAACGGTGATGCTGCACCCCGACGCCACAACTCAGCCGATGGCGAGGAGAATACCTGGACCCTATGGGGTCATATCGTCGCTGATTGGGATTATCATTGGAAGAAGAGGAAAGAATTTGTCAAAGAATTAGTACGTCAAGGAATACCTCATCATTTCAGGTAACGAAACAATTTTTGAGAATGAGAATTATATTAATTGGAAACGGTTGTTGGAAAAATTGAAGAATTTCATTTTATAAGCATTGATAATTTCATCGTTGCAGAGGTATTGTTTGGCAACTATTAAGCGGTGCTCACGACTCTCCTGTGAAAAAGCAGTTCGCTGAGTATATCAAAGCCACGTCCGCCTGCGAAAGGATAATCAGGAGGGATATAGCCAGAACGTATCCTGAGCATGATTTCTTTAAGGAGAAAGACGGACTTGGTCAGGAGAGTTTGTTTAACGTTATGAAAGCGTATAGCCTTCACGATCGTGAAGTGGGATACTGTCAAGGTTCGGGATTTATTGTAGGATTACTCCTTATGCAGGTACACTTTAATGTTTGAGGAGAAAGAGAGAGAGAGAGAGATTGATAGAGAAACTGAAAGAATAAAAATGAATATACTTTGAAGACTGGATGTAGGTCACCGGTGTTTCATTTGATCAGACTTAAATAGGTATAAATTTGTTGTTGCAGCAAATGCCAGAGGAAGAAGCTTTCGCTGTACTGGTAGCGCTTATGCAAGAGTATCGTTTGCGAGACATGTTCAAGCCGAGTATGGCTGAATTAGGGGTGTGCATGTATCAGCTAGAACATTTAGTTGCTGACACGCATCCCGAGTTACACGCTCATTTCACGGCTCAAGGTTTTCACACGTCAATGTACGCATCGTCTTGGTTTCTTACGCTTTTTACCACGGCCCTCAGTCTACCGTTGGCCTGTCGCATTTTTGACGTCTTTCTGTCCGAAGGCATGGAAATTATTTTCAAAGTTGCGCTGGCCATGTTGCATTTAGGCAAGGAAGATTTGTTAAGCTTGGACATGGAGGGCATGTTGAAGGTAATTTTTATCAGCTTTACGTATTTTTCAATTCGATAAACAGGAACCTTATCAGATGATAAAAATGAAAAACCTGTGTTTTAATTTAATGTCTATGTTTCTAGAAGACACACTGTGTTTCCTATTCATTAATATTCACCAGTTCTTTCCGCCTGTAGTTCTTCCAGAAACAACTACCTGGAAGAGCCGAAAAAGACCCCGATGGCCTCATGAATCTTGCTTATGGTATGAAAATAAATCCGAAGAGAATGAAGAAGTTGGAGAAAGATTATACCGTGTTGAAAATGAAAGAGCAAGAGGAAATGGTCGAGCTTCGTAGGCTCAGGGCAGAGAATAGGTTACTTAGGCAAAGAACTGAACTTCTTGAAGCTGAATCCGCGGAACTGGCGGACAGATTGGTCAGGGGTCAAGTGTCGCGCGCCGAGGAGGAGGAAACTGCCTTTGTTGTACAAAGGGAATTAGCGGCTCTTCGACATACGCATCTTGAGACGAGTCATCAGCTCGAGCAGGCTCACGAGGAGCTGAGATCGTTGTCGCTTCTGTTAGAGGAAAACGTGACGTCGAAGCAGTCGTCCTTAGAAGAGATTCTATCGAAGCAGGAAGCGTTGTCGCAGAAAGAGGAAATGATTCAGTGTTTGCAAGAGGAATTAGTAAGGGTACGTTTGCACGAGGCGGAGAACGATGCCACGATAAGGGAGCTCAGAGCGAGAATACAAGAATTGGAGCAAGATAAAAAGACATTAAGAGAATCGACACCGGATAATTCTGTTGCTCATTTGCAAGAAGAATTGATTGCTGTGAAACTTAGAGAAGCCGAGGCTAATCTTTCCTTGAAGGTAATTCTTCTTCACACTTCTGTTCATTGTTTCTATCTGAAAATCCTTATTTAACATTCCTCGTTCTTTCCTTTAATTTATTATTATTTGATTGTAGTTAATAAATTGATAATAATGTAAAAAATTTATTAGGATCTTCGGCAACGAGTAGTGGAATTAAGTTCTGCCTGGCAAAGGCATCTGCAAGAGCACCGTTCGGCTCAGAATCAACCAGCGAGCGATTCCACACCGAAGAAGCTATTGTTTTGGGAGAACAGGGGTCACGAGGTTCAGAAGTTTGAAGAGGACTTAATGACGACCCGGATTCGAGAGATGGAAGCTTTGACGGAGGTGAAGGAGCTTAGACTGAAAGTTATGGAGCTTGAAACTCAAGTGCAGGTCGCCACGAATCAGCTCCGTCGACAGGACGAAGGGGGAAAATTGATTAAAGAAGAATTGGAGTCTGCCTTAGCTAGGGAAAAGGAACTTACTGCCAAATTAAGGGAGCAACAGCACAAGTATTCTGATCTCGAGTCGAAGATGAAGGACGAAGCTATGATGGCTAGGATACGCGATGCAGAGCACGCGCAGCAAGTGGCTGAACTCACCCAGAAAATATCTCTTCTTGAATTAAAAGTACTATCTTTCGTTCTTACATAATCGAGTAAAACTCGTTTTGTATGTAAATTCTAATTGTTATTGTTTATTGCAGAACGAAGAGATGCACGCGGAAGGTGAGCTTAGGAATAATTTAGATGACAGTGAGAGAGTTAGGGAACTGCAGGATAAAGTTGCTGAATTAAAAGCTGAGGTATGTGGAAGTTGTATATTATATTTATGCTGCATTAATGAAAGCATTGCTTTGAAAATTGCAGTAAGGGGTGATTGGAAGAAATGTTATTAAATTTAAATGAATTTTTATTTTTTCCTTCATAAATAGAAAACAGGTTCAAATTTATCTTTGATTTTTCACTTCTTGCATGTGAAAATTAATATACTTAGGACAGTTATATTACTTCTGTAAGGTTTAACGCTAAGCTAATCAAACGTGAAATTATTCTAACCGTTCTGTGAAACGAACTGTATAGAAAGAAATGTTTCTTTTGTGTAAATTTGAGAAAATTAAGGTATCACTTTAGTAAATGAAATAATTAAGAATGCTTTCAATTATGCACAAGTATAATTACTTTTATAGACGTTTACAATCGTCAGTGACTTACATTGAATTACTTCAGTTAAAGTTGAAATTCATACATTTGTTTAATATTTAAGAAGGTAGAAGTAATTACGGTAGATCGTAAAAATGTAGCATTGTAAAATGACCATTTTACAGTAGTTCAAATTCCAGTTGTTACTCAATTCGCTATTTGATTGCAAGTTAGTAAATTTCGAGGCTTGTAGATTTACGTAACTATTGAAATTTTCGTATATTTGGAGATAGAAGTAATTCCAGTTGAAAGTTCATTATAGGATCTTGATTTTTTATTGCAATTCCTGCATATTCGTATAAATTGGAGACACAGAACCGCATAAATTCTATACAATTACTATTGTCATTGATACATACATAGGTTTTTCATTATCATATAAAGAGGAATAATTTAATTTATTTGTGAATAGTTATAATCCATCATATATTTTTTTTCTAAACGTATTTACACATTTGTCATAATGCACTTAATATTTTTTTATAACACTGTTTTTTATGAAGTGCTCACTAATTCATCTTAAAGATCATGTTTTAGGAATTCAACACTGTGGTTGCTCTCTTATACTGCACCATTAAGTCACATATCACAGAGGATTACGTTTTTAATGTGTTACTAATACATTTTCTTACCAATTACTTTGAATTATTTCAACAAGCTAAGTACAAAAAAAGGGTGTATATATAATACAAGCTGTTATTGTTCTGTCTGTTGAGTGTACAAAATTGCATCTGTGGTGGTAATATGTAAAATAAGCAAAAGATGTGATTTTTGCTTTTGTATTATTGTGACTCACAAAACTATGCACAAATTGCACCTCTTACTGCAATGTAACGCTAATTATCACGCTAATGAACAATACTCTTTTTGTTAACAAAATTCGGATAAAAAGAGTTTATTAAGAAATAATTGGGCATAATTATAGCTTCTTCATTTTATAAGATTTTCATAACTAATACATTTCATACTTCTATTGTTTGTCATTAATGATTAATTATTGCGACGGAAAGCAAAACATGGTGGTCTCACTTATCACATGAACAAGTAACATATTCCTACAGAGGTACCTGTACACGTTAAGAATTCATCGCGTTTCATCATCAAAAGTACATTCCTAATTGTTTCTAATTTTATGTGTTCATTGTAATTTATAAAAATGACAAGTTATGTGAAAGATTATTTACATATCAAAGCTTTGAGGATGGCAAATTGAAAATTTGTAATGAAATATTGAATTCGCATCTTGAATAAAAATTCATCTAAATATCTTACAATATTATCAAATTTTCAATGTCTCATCATAAATCAAGCTTGCTATTTATTATACTAATTGTGCTTTAAGATCATTATATTAGATATTGGGAGTTAGCACAGCACGGAGTAATGATTTATTATGAAAAGAAAAATTTTAATTGACACCAAATATACCTTCAAAGATATCATTCGTTTGCCTTACCTACAAGGTGTTCAATAGAAATGCATTGTAATGTATGTTATCGAAGAAGATGTTGTTCAAGCAAAATCAGTTGTATTGAAAGATATGATGATGCAGTACTATTTGTGCTTGATTATAATTACTAATGGAATTCTTATTGTGTAAAGGTACCAAACACTAACACAATGAAACTAATTGTCTTGTAAAACTAACCCTCTATTGCTGTGTTATCTCTGTCTCCTTAGTTCCCTACGCCAATCACCAGCCCGGAGACTGAGCCTTGGCGCTGGCTCGAGTAAGTCTTTACCCATCCGTAAGCATTATTTTTTCCATTTCATTTACGTAGCATGACATCAATGTGGACTGTATCAAAGAATTGTATTTCTTCTCTACAATCTTGTGTCTATCAATAGATGTACTTGAAATATAATTTAGTTAAGTTCAAGTTGAAGAAGGAAAATTTAAATGTCTCTTAATGTCTCTCTTAAATCAGTTTAAATTGTATAATTTGTAAATATAATTGTACATAATCGCAGTTGCACTCAGTGTAAATTGTTACAGGTAGAATCATTCATCAAATTCATTATCCTTCTGAAGAATAATAATTTACGTAGTTCTAGTTGTACCCCATCACTATGTTCAACGTGCTTTATGATCTTACTAATTGTGTGCATTATAATCACTGCTCGCATGTATTGTTTTTGCTTTGTTCGCTTGTTCCATTCATAATATTGAAGGTAATTGAAGGTTTAATCAGTGTCCTGTAAGAAAAATTTTTCAAGATTGATCAAGCACAGTTAAATAGCAACCAATGTGCATGTTGCTGAGTACAATATTCAGGATGATTTTTCATCTGTGCATCATCATCTGGTTCATCGCTTTAAAGAAGAAGAATCAAAGTTTCGTTAAGAAATCTTACAATCCTGCAAGTAGTATTTGCCTGCATAATTGTGAAACTGTTCTCTCATCTCCTAATACTTTCCTTACAGTGAATAGATTAACAAACAGTTCAAATAAGCTACTACGTAGAGTTTCTCCTCAGGTTAGGAAGTAGTTGGACTATTCCGTATTGAACTAACTTAGAAAATTCTAAAGCACATTTCTTCTCTACCTGACAACGTACAAAATTATGAAGCGTTTTGTAGAAATTGTTATTTATGAAATCCACCGGCTATTACTGTATTTTCTATTTGTGTCACAGGTCATGAGATTAGAAAGCTGGAAACAACATTGGACAGGTGGACACGGTGGTCAAAATGTGAGAAGCTTTAGTGTTGAAACTGAAAGCGAGTTGGACGATCGGGATCTCCGAATTTGTTTACAGGATCATATCAATGCGACTACGCAGAATTCACCAGAGGTATAGAATTCCACGTATACCAGAAAATTAGGCAGCTAAGTGTCGTTAAAAAAAGAAAAAAAAAAAACATACACACAAACACATACACACAAGTATTCCATTGTCAGACAAGATGGGACCGTTTTACTTTCGTGATCACGCTTTCGCTGTAGAAAGAACGACGAAGTACGCACATAGAATATTATAAATCGACAAACACATAGGGATAAACTAATTATGTTTTAGGTTTCGTGTAATATCACTATAGCTCGTGATGTATTAACAGCATATTAGCGTTTAAACTAGGTGTAATCTGGTGGTCATTAATAATCTACTCGATCTTTCGTTGTAATCAGACTTCGAGCAATTTGTAAAGCTGCTTTTTAACAATTTTTATATATAGAATAACGTCTTTTAAAGTATCTCTTAAAATAATTTTATTTACAATAGATGATCGGTAGTGTTCCAATATTATTTCATATTGAATTTCAAATTCATTACCAGTCTGAATGAATTAATTTTAATCAACGAAATAATTACCTATCGAAGTCTGCTTGCAATCGACAAATGCTAGATTAATTATTAACAATGTGACGCATAAACGACACGTTTTTATACGTATTACGCATTATGTGTATTTTTTGTAATTTAAACCAAATGTAATTCCATTTAAGGAATTGTATATTGAATAGATACTCGTCGTCGGTTAAATCGACGAGGTAGATTTGTCTTTTTCAATTATGAAGTAAAAATGAAGACGAGGAAGAAGTGTAGAAGAGAGTACTGAGTGTGTCTATTCAGACACACGTACATTAGAGTCTCGTTAACGAAATTATATAGTAGCAAGTTGATCCGGTTAGCGTTCTACGTGAAAGAAACTTAACGAACGAAGAGGAAAAAAAAAAATGCCACGCCTCAAGAAATTTCATAGTATTCTTCTTTGCGTAACTTTTAAATGGTCCAAGTAAAACAAAGAACTCGCGCTAGACAATTATTTATTATTTAAAAAGAGAAGAGAAATTTGTAACTCCGTTCTAAAGCTGTGCTAGCGAGAGTGAGGCGGTGTTCTTTAAATAAATTTACTAATTGCAGATTATTGAATGCGAAAGTGAAACCGAACAAGATAATCGGGAGTACTTGTAAAACTTAATAGCCCGGATAGCTCGTTCCTTAATAGTGACTTCCTAGGGACGTGATAATTACTTCCAACGTAAGTAGTTGCGCAGATCCAATCATCATTGCTTTGTTCTCGATTTCGTTCTTTTTTTTTCTCGTTTTTTTTCAGAGCTTACTCGAACCCTTAACGATCCATCCCTTAAACGTGCTCGTTGAGAATTCCAAATAGAATTCCAGGAAGTGTATTTACTTTTGAGATAAAAAGGGAACAGCTGGTTGATAAAAAAGGATGCGTTTCTATTTGCCTTTGACCAGTGCAATTAACACGTTATCTGCGGATCAAAAATGAAAAAACTAAGCACTGATAGAACAAGATAATAAATTTGCACTATTACTAATTCAATGAAACACTCCAAGGATACAGTGTTAATGAGTTGCTTGTTTTATAATGAATAGCAAAGTTCATTTCAATAGCTTTTTAAATTAAAAAAAAGAAATATATTAAAACGTATTGCGCTGAAAATAGATAATTATATGTCGCGAAGGATTAAGTAGGTAATTCTCTTCTTAATGTGAATTTTAAGCTACGCTCAAGCAACCTTTTTGTTTTATATTAAAAAAAGGTTCTCTTCAATAAGTACTTAGAAGTTTGCATATAATATATAGTTTAAAAGAGTTATATTGTTCATTAGAGGATAGCAAATAAGATTGTGAAGAAGCAATATCTAGTAATACTTAAACATTTGTAAATGTGTGTTTAGCGTTGATTGCTTAATTTTAAATCAATTTTAAATGTAAAATTTTATTTATAAATAATGATTATATACGAAGTTTAGTGAAATGAAGAATCCTGCGTTTTATGATATTAATTTACAATTTTATATGCGACTAGTATACAAATTAATTTAACGTTGGAACGTTAAGGGTTGAATCGCGTACACAGTTATTCGCTTTGGCCTAAATTATGTCGATCTTTCTTTTATTGTAACACAATTGGCTCACGACGTGGCTAAATCGAGGAAACTCATTCTCGCACCAAACACCAGATAATTTTTGACGGTTAAACGAAATCTATTTCGCTTTCGTGCACGTTTGATCGAGAAAACAGCATGTAACACTTTAGTATACAATCGTAGAACTCTGTCGGTTCGGATCACCAGATGATTTTTTATGCTAAATAAGAAGACTAGGCAATTAGATTTTGCACATTCCCAACACGAACGACATTCGTTGTTGCAAAACAATAATTAACGATTCTTTCCATTTTAATGTAAAAGTCTGAATTTGACTTGCTTTCTGAATGAATCATTATTTTTGCGCCGACTCTCGATTTTCTTTGCCTATACATTGGATTGCTGCGTTTTAAAAAAATACAATTAATCACTATATTGTTTCAATCATTGTAATGCGACTAAAATGAAGAGTAGAATTTATTATTAAACATCATGTAAAGATTGTAGTAGCAATTCAATGGTGTTCAGCAAATTAGTCGACGAGAGAATCAGTAAATGCTTTTACACGTTTTCGCAAGAAAATAAAATAAAATTTTAAGACGTCGTTGCGTAGAAAAATTATCGAAATTTGCCTATATAGAGGCGCGCTAATACAACGCTTACTGGCACAAGCTCAATATTTACTATTAAGAAAGGTTGAGTTTCTAATCTTTTCAGATATTTCTCCAGCGGTCGAAAGAAATATTTTTGTTCCCTCTATAAATAAGAAAAATAATAAGATAATTTCGGTACTGCCTGATAGTATATACACCAGTCGACTGGACTTAAGCGCAATGGCTAAAAGAAATTAAAAATCTGTCTATTGATTTTTAACCAATTATTCTATGTTGCTTCTGCGAATTTACATGTGCAATTTTATGTGCGAAATAAAAAAGAAATCAACGCAAACTATTGCGCTTAACTTAAGATTATTTTAATAATCAATTAAGGAAACATCGTAAAGGAATTAAACATTAATTATGTTTAACTGAAAGATCATTAAGGTGCAGTTTTATGTGTAAAAAAGCACCAAGATACAGCTTCTATATTGCAAATTATAAAATTGTAATATACTCACGTACACGCCAGTATTTTTATTTTAAATAATTGAATAATTATTGTGAAAAAAGAAAGATGTTTTCCTAATGCGAATTTCATTGTTTCTTGCGAACAGCAATCCATTTTAAATCGTTCCTTTTAAATTCTTACTTCAATAATCAGTATTTATAAAAGTGACGAATAGTTTCTTAAGTGAATTTTAATTTTAAGATCATTTTCCACGTATTTTCAGTATTTCTTATTTAAATTTTATTAAAACGAAAAAAAGTACAATGTAGTTTTTGCGTTTCGTGTATTTATTGAATTTGAAATTTTCCCGGGAATTAATCTCGCGCGTTCGATATTATCGTTCGATTGTCATTCGATTGCTTGACGGATGATCGCTAACTTCAGTCGTAAAAAAAACGCGGCACTTGAATGTACGGAATATTTTTCTTAAAATATGTAAATAACGATTATGTGGTATTATCACATTATTTATTTCTTCTTATGTGTTTCCATTTTAAGAAACTAACGTCAGTCTTTTAAGGTACGCCCATTTTTTACATTTTACAACGCTTAACTATATTTTGGTAAGAATCATTTCAAAGTGATTATACATATTGTATGCATTTGGCGCATTTATTGTATTCGAGAACAAGCGGTCATAAGTGACGCGTTTATTAGTGATTTTTTCCAACTATTGTATACAAGGTTTTTCGATGGATAATGCGCACACTATGGACAACGATATGAATTTGTCACGAACGTTATGGGGAATATTATAACATCAGGAGTAAATAAATTTTTATTCACTTTTAAGGTATCTGTCTTTTTCCTGCATGGGCGAGCACGACAAAACCTACGGAAGGATTATAATGTATTGTATTCTACAAGGATTAACTGACCTGAAAGGATCGTTATTTTCCATTTTTTTTAATACGTAAGGAATAGAAAAATGCGATACAAAAGATTAAATGTATTAAATAATCCTTTTTATTTTGTGAATAATTAAGGTTACTTGAAATTTTCAGTTTTTATTCTTTCGATTATTCGTTTGCGCCTCGGAACAAGGGGACTTGGCCACCTCCTTACGGCTATTGATAGCTCCCAAGCGAAACGGTACCCCACGGGAAAGGTATAATCCCGCATATAAACTTAACAATCTCCGAACGATATTCCAAAGGAGGAAGAAGGACAAAAGGGGAGCAACAGCGTCAAAGAAAGCGATACATGGGTGAGCGCAAAGACAAAAGGAAAGAACAGGGACCATCTAGTGATTCGGGGAGAGTGCGCCCATGGGCGGCGCAACTTGTGGCAGGTAGTTTTCCAAATGGAGTCGATCAGTCAGAGAGTAGAAAAAAGTAATCCGTGAAAAGGGGTTCGTTGTTACGCCGGTCTGCTGCAACGTTGCCAGTTCCGTGCAAGTGAAAAGAGCGGTTGGCCGGGTTGGTTCAGGAGCGAAACTAGAATGCTATAGAGCCCTTTTTATAAACTATTTCGAGAGACAGGACAATTTTAATTAATACAAATTCAAGCATACCCAAAAGTACATCACATCACGCCAAGAACTATGAATAAAGATATTAAGAAAAAGTTAGGCACATACGCATAAAAACTAACATTAACGATTATGAAACATACTTGCTACAAATAACGATTGAAATCGATTAAATTGAAAAATTCATGTTTACTATCAGGGCGTTTCGTAGTTTGTCCTGGGGTACCTAAATACATAGTTGCGAGTTTGTCCGGTCCTCTTGAGGTGGCGGTGGCGGCAGTGTTGCCAAGCGAGACTAACCACGGCGAAGTGGAAGAGTCAGCTTATGGGGGTTCGCGGGAGGAAAGAAGAGAATTCGAAGGGAATTGGAGCGATAAAGAAAGGTTTTAAAGCGAGGAAGAAAGAAAGAGCAACACGCGGTCCGGGCAGGGGTGGCGGACCAATTAAATATGGCGACAACAGTGGGGTGTGGCGCTTACGCATGCGCAGCGTCGCTCTCGACTGGGGGGACAGCGAGCCACAGACAGAACGGGATAGCGGCTAGAAGGAACCGGCCGGCGAGCAGAGGGATTGAGGAGTACCCCGGCGTACGTTTGTGTTGTGCGCGCTCTCTTCGAGGATAATCTCTCAGTGTCGCACGAGAAGTTGTCCATCGACGTTTGTTCTACGCTCGATCGTACGAAACGTTTATTAGTTTTGACTGAGAACCGTAGACGCTGAATAACTTGTGAAAGAAAATAAATCAAGATGACGATGGCTACGGAGACAGAGAATACCGGACCAGAGAGCAAGGAGATTAAGGATGTAAAGGAGATGAAGGAGGCGCTGAAGGACGAAACGCCGCCGGACAATAAGCAAGAAGAGAAAGATGCGGCTAAGAAAGAAGAAAGTGGGAAAAAGGAGGAGGCTACCGACGCCGCGGCTGCTACGGCATCATCGGCACCGACCAAGGCTATCAGCGTGCATAAGACCAACTACGAGAAGGACGTTGTTTATCTCTATCAGTTCTCTCGAACGCCGCTCCTGCCCTCCATCTCGCCGTATTGTCTCAAGGTGGAAACATGGTTGCGACTGACCGGCATCAGATACGAGGTAAGATTTTCATTTGTTATTCGCTCGGTATCGATGCGTTCGAATTTCGAGTTTCTCGCAACAGGGAGAGACGAGAGATCGATGGAGTACAATGCTCCCAAAGTTGTACCCTACGCGTCGTGTTTCTTCCGGGTAAAACTGACAACGCGTCCTTTTAGTTCTACTCTTTTGCTGCATTTCAAAGTAAACCTTCGGTTCATTAATTACGCTAAGAATTGTATAGATGAAATTCTGCGTAGTAAACGAACGTATTATGTTAAAAAAAAAAGCTATAGAAGAGGTGGATCCTTTACCGATTATTTCAAAATGGCGACTCTTGTCAACCTCCGTGCGTCCAGAGCAATATTTAAACGTGCATTTAAACGTTTACCAATTACTTTTTGTTTAATTCTATGCATTCTGAATTATATTTTAATCGCTAATTCATTTTATAAACATTTTAATGATAAATGATTTCTGTAAAAATTTGATATAACCCCTCTGTACGATATCGATCTCTTTTCATAAAAACTCGAAGCAGACATTTGCATGTTTTTCTCGAATCATTGCTTTGAATTCGCGCATACGACGCTTTTATATTTTTCTTACATTTATAAGTTCATATTCTATTAAAACCAAGTATGTCGTTCTTCCTCGGTTGAATACATCGATTCGGTAGCCTACTTTGAATTTCAGACGCAAATATTTATAGAAACCGTAGTGTTTACATCCGGGCATTTAGACAAGCGGTGATAACGTATCCAGGACTCTTTTGATGAGGGTAAAGCTTAAGCATGTAATCGCGCACGTAATAGCTAAACATACAAGTATCTCATTCCCATTATACACGGAACGTATAATCCGATGAAACATTATACCTAATATAGTACGTGCTTTCGAATCGAACAGTCCTAGTTCCTCCATCGTAGCTCCGTCATTTTTTGCCTAACCTCTAAAATCGTAACTGTACCAATAATTATACTGTACGAAACGATTTCTCCGTATCATAAAAATCATTATATCCGGTGCTAGAGTAAATGCAGCGGGATGACGGGGTACACGCGATCGAAAAGCATGAAAATACATTTTCTCGCGAAAGAGGTGAAAGGCCCGCCGGCATGCATTCCTACGGACTTTTAAAACGGGTTTTAGTGGTTGCGTGGGGGGCAAGGAAGGAGAGGCTATTGGAGGGCTTCCAAGTTGAACAGAGAGGAAAATGCCCCTGTACACACCGGAGCCCCTCGATCCTGCGCGTTCTGTTTTCAAGGGGGATGGAAGGACGCGGGTAGCCCCTTCGAGCTACGCTCACGCATACGTACACGCAGAGCGGGACTCGCGCGTCAACCAAAGGAGTTGGCGTTCCGCTGAACCATGTGTGTTTGTCTCGATGAACACAATGGATCGATCGATATCATGACCGAACAAACGCTCGCCAACCAGAGAACGATTTTTTTTACTCGGCAAATCGGTGCAATGCAGGTTGATAAGTTATGTTTTATCATAAACCTTATATATGAAATACACGCTTCAAAAAACATTTGATAAAATTCTGATAGGGTTTATGTGTTCTGTTATAATAAACAATTTCATCGATATCGATACTATACTGCTATCGATAAATATCGACAATATCCTTATGGCCAATGGGAGCGATCGTAGCCTTAGATCCTCCGGCGCGCAAATTCAAATCCTCCCGGTGAAATCTTAAACTTATTCTCAATTAGTGTAAACTCAAATATTAGAAAGGTTCTTAAGAAAGTAAAAAAGAGAGGAATTCTTCTTTTACTCCTTTTTTTAAAGAGATATATGCGCCTGTTTACGCGCGTTTTTCCATCAATTTATTTATATCTCTGTTGGCTGCAAAGGGGCGATATTCGTCGCGGGTCGCGTACGTGTGGAATACGCGATAAATAATCAGAGTCGGGGCGCGGTATGAAAAAGCGCGTGCATGGCGTTGTTTTTTCTTTTCAGTGTTTGATGAAATTTATTTTAAAACAATGGATCGATGTCTGTTGATATAAAGGACAAACAAATATTAATTTTATTAAAAGAACGTGCGATAAATCTTTCGAGTTTGAAACTGAAGGAATTTTTTTTCTCAGTTCACGCAAACGTGGCTCGGAACGCATGGAATTTTATCCCATGGTGGTCGCCACTTTCGAAACGCTTTTGGAAGCTCCGTCGAGGTTAGACGCGTCGCCATTGGCGTTCTTTTTCATCTGGCCGCCCCGAACGTGGGGTCTTCCACGACATCTGTTGAACATAACCGCTTTTCCCCGAAACGCGGAGTCATTGGGATAATGTTTGCCGAGGGTTCGAAAAGCAGATCTCGAAACGAGTCGATAGTGTTTTCTTATTGTTACTGCTTGTTCTTTCGCGATAACGGTTAGGTTGATGGCGTTTCCGACCGTCGATAACGATCTGTCGAAGAAAAAGTAAAGAACGTGCCTTTTCAACGCGGACCATTTTAGACACGGTCCGGACGAATTCGAACGAGTCCCCGCTCGTTTTCGGGCTATTTTTAGAGGGCCGATGAGCGATTGCACTTTATGTAATTCGTCCGTTGCGATTGTCGAGAGCGTTACCGACGCCTCCACTTCCGGTTCACCGTTCTCGATTACCCGAACGGTAATTGGTTATTTCTTGTACACGCCCTAGGGACAAAATTTGTTTCTAGTAATATTACAATACTATACTCGCGAGTACAACGAGGGCTGCAATTTCTAAGATGGAACGATTGAAAAAGACCTCTCTTTGTACGCCGCGGTTCGTGCGAGCCTCGAACAATTATACGCTGATTGTATTTCCATAGAAAGAATCGCGCTAACCCTTTCATAATGAGCGCTCGTTCGAATGGTAAAACGACAGAGCTGGAACAAAAGAGGTCACAGGTAATACAGAGGAAGTTCCTATTGAACTAATCATTACCAAGATAGGTATAAATAACGCGCGGAGTGGCCCGAATCAATTGGCCAACTTGACCAATTTCGCCCTCGGCATGCATGCCGAAATTTCCAAGAAATTCTTTTTGACCCTTTCAGATTCGTATTTTTATTTATATTTAGTACTCAAGTATCGGTAAGCGTTGCGTTCATTGGAAATATAGGTAATTATGGTTTTGTCGGGGGCTCGATAATTACAGTGTAGAAATCCAAGATGCAATCTTCGGTTATGATGCATTGTTACTTGTTTGTAGAAAGATTATATAGGGTGTGGCAGGTATTACAAACTAGTTTCTTAATTACTCTGTTAGATGAAGGGAGACAAAAATATAATATGTCATTAAGTGTATTTATTGATATAGGACGCATATGTTGCGTCGTTGGTTAGGCCGTATGGATAGTACAAGACGTATATGGTGCGTCATTGGTTAGACCGTATGGATAGTGCAGTGAAAACTCGATAAATGTTTTCATGAGTCTATTTCATAAATACATTTTTATCCCTAAATTTATCGAATAGGGGTAGCTAACGAAACCTTCTATTTCATAAGTGTTTCAGTTTCTGATCATTTACGAAACAGTGGAAGCGTCCCGTTTGAGAATTAGCTACCTCCTATTCGATAAATGCACATCAGTCATAGTGTCCGTTCGTCTAGTGAAAAAGCACTGACTTTGGAGCCCAAGTTTAACCGCAGCAAATATAAATCTAATTATTTAATGAAAGCGTTAAAATAATTAACATGATTATCTGATAAAAGCTTTAGAATATTCAATAATTTATTTGAAATTACAAAATACACTAGACGAATGGACACTATGATTGATATCGTACACTGATGGTGACTTCAGTCACTCGTCCCACTAGACGGTGAATTTCGCATTCATTTTTTAACTTTGGTAAAGCGGAATATTATTACATTGTTATTTCTATAGTTGCCAATTGCTTGTATTTAATTTCTATTTTATTTTATATTACAAGATTATTATTTTATTTTTAATTTTTAAGTGCGTCTACATTACAATTGCCCCGTACCGGGACAGCGCATGCGCGAGCAAGTCCGCCCAGAAAAATTTCCCCCATATGATAATGAAATTTTTAGTAACAAAAAGTATAAAATAAAAAACTATATTCTGTGCATTAGTATGGTCATACTGACACGGGACATTTAAACAAAGACAATAAATTCCAGTTTCAGTTCCTCTTTCGAATTTAGCTACATTTCTACGTTCGACGTCGGCAGACCTTACAATCAAATTCGAAGAACGATTCTCCCATTCCGTAACTGTTGCGTAGCGGACCGGCAATAGTTACATTTATCGAGTTTTCACTGTACAAGGCGCATATGGTGTGTCGATAGATTGAAATACGTATATCGTTTAACGGCGTGTGTACATTACATGAATATTCATGTCGATAATGGCAGTCCTTGAAAGGATACCGGATTAGCATGCCATTGCGAAACAAAAGAAGAAGGAAGAGAGCACTTTCGAAGGTGTAGACACGGTCGCGCGACGAGTCGCTAACACGTAAATGTGGGTTAGGAAAAAATCTGAAACAAGAATTCTCTGTTTCATATATAACTTCTCACGCTTTCTTGCCAAGACGCGCGCTTTTCGGTGCGAAAGTTAGCGGGACACGGGAACGCGTGAAACTGTGCTAATTTATTGGCTGCTTCTCTCTTTTTCACCTCATTTTCTTTTTTTTTTTTTTTCGAACGTTCACAAGCGATCGTACGTGAAACGTTTCCGATCCCGAACACACTCGTTACTTTTCTTCTACTTCTTACGATAGAATTATAGTTTCACCCTTTCTCATAGGCCAAGGAAGAACACGTTTGAGCGGAAAGAACGTTTATTCCTTTACACATTTAGGGCACAGAATGATTTTTAAAAAATCTGAGATTCGGGGTTTTAGCCCTGAAACGAAAAAAAACGTTAAAGGGAAAAGTTGCCGAATGACGTCTCCGTGAATCCTGCGACGATGAGTAAGGCTGTGTCTTAAGATTTGGGAATCTAAAGTCAACTGACTTTTGCATAGCCTTACTATCGCCATGACTCATATTAGGGTCTTTCATTTAG